AATCCGAGGAAGAGGGAGGTAGGTGCCTGCTTCTCACCTCCTGGCTCTGGAGAATGCAGGTGCCCAAGCTGAGCTAAAACGGGGAGGAGCTCCCACTCGGCCCCTGTGGGTGTGAGGTACCCTGGGGATGGCCAGAGAGTCGCGGGCTATGTGGTCCTCAGCACAGTCCAAGCAGAGCTGGGGGGAATGGAAGCCATGGGAGGGGATGATATTATCCGGGAGAGGGTGCAGGGTGAAGCAAGGGAGGAGGGATGGCATAGAGCAGATCCCAGGCCTGAGCAGAAAGTGGGCAGCCCCACACACTGGGGTGGGGAGGCACAGGGAGGGGGGCGGTCCTTGGGAAGCCGGGAGAATGCTCCCAGGAGGGCGCGGTGCGCAGGCGTCGCTGGGGACTGAGCCGTGTCTGGGCATTTCTGCATGGAGAGGCACAGTTGAGCAGAGTGCAGTGGGTTCAGCGCTCATGGAGACGGAATTCGGGATGAGAAGGAAGAAAGGCCCCTAGCTGGTGGACAGGGGGCATGCAGGCCCGTTTGCTGCTGCCCAGAGGGAGCCAGGGGAGAGGCAGGAGGAGGAAGGGGAACCCCTGCTCTGTGCCGGGGCCACCTGCATAGCAGGGGCGGAGCTGGGGCCGTGTGGGCGGCCCTTAGGGCTGCCAGGACCCTGCCCTGCATCTTCAGCAGCCACAGGGCCGTGGGAAGGCTCCTCGGAGGCAGAAGCCCCGCAGACGCAGCACAGCCTCGTAAACCTGGTTCCGGGTCAGGAGCTGAAGCCTAGGGCTGGGTGGAGTTGGCCCCCTGGGAGGTAGCTTGACAGAGCTTCAAACCAGAGCCCTGGGAAGGTCAGGAGAGGCCCCTGCCAGCCCCTCCCTGGGCCCAGCCTCCAGTGGCTGGCAGGATTGGGGTGGAGGGTCTCCCTTTGGGGCCAGCCCAAGTGCCCCCTGCGGTGTGGTCAGCCCTGCTCCGTGGGAGCCAGGCCCATCGCCTGTGTTGGCGCTGAGTGGCAGCGGCCAGTGTTTTTACAACTTGTTTTCCTGGAGTTGGTTTGAAGTCAGCCTGCATTCCCTGAATGTCAGACCCGCCCTGATCCACGAGATTGACCAAAACAGGGTCTGTGCCAAGGAGAGCAACGCGAGGACTTACTCATCCTCCTTGGATCGTCCACACAGTCTCCCCCATTCCTGCCAGTGAGAGAGGAGGAGAAGGAGGAACATTAGCCTGATGACCAGGAGGGGACAGTGGCTGCTGGGGCCATAAACAGGCTCAGAAGCTGCAGGCAGGGTGTGGCGGGGTGGGCCTTGCACCCCACAGACCCCCCTTTAAACTCTCTGAAGTCGCTGAGCTTCAATGTCCCCACCTCTGAAATCCGAGAGCTCGAGGCACCTTCCTGACAGCTGATGGCTGGGCACCACAGACCCTGACACAGGACCCCGTAAAAGCTATGTATTGGGAAGTTTTCCAGAGAAAACTTGCACAGGGAGTGGACAGAGGGAGCAGAAAGAGAGGAGAGGCAAGAGGTCACTGCAAGCATTCCCTGGGCGGGAGCTCCGGGGACAGGCAGGTCCCAGGTGGCCCTCCCGGGGCAAGGCTGCAGGAGAGGTTACACCTCTGCCTGCTTGGTCACTGCTGCAGGGCTGTGCTGGGGACAGCATGCCGCTAGGGAAAGGGGTTCCAGCAGTCTGAAAGCAGCCTGTCCCCACACAACTAGCTGGTATGCCCTAAATGGCAGCGGGCTTCCGGGGGATGTGGGCGGAGCACGACAGCATCTGCTCTGGAGGACTCATGTGGGGGTCACACATGGAGGGTGCGAGGCAGGTGTTTGGCCTGGCAGTTGAGATGCCCGGGTCCCACTCCTGGCTCCGGCTCCTGACTCTGCCTTCCTACTAATGCAGACCCGGGGAGGCAGCGGTTCATGGCGTGTGTAATTGGGATCCTGCCACCTATGAGGGAGACTGGGATTGGGTTCACAGCTCTCAGCTTTGGCCCAGCCCAGGTCTGGTCAATGAGGCATTTATTGAGTGAGCCAAGGATGGGAGTGCGCTCGCTCTCGCGTGCACTCACTCTCTCTCTCTCTCTCTCTCTGTGTATGTCTCACATACATTTTAAACGTGGTTTTACAAAGCGTGTAAGGGGACAGGCATTGTGGTGCAGTAGGCTAAGCCACTGCCTGGATGCCTGTTGCTCTACCTCTGATCCAGCTTCCTGCTCGTGCACCCTGGGGGGCAGCAGAGGATGGCTCAAGGGCTAGGACCCCTGCCACCCACATGGGAGAGTCACTGAAGTTCTGCGCTCTTGGCTTCAGCCTGGCCCAGCCCTATCCATTGTGGGCATTTGGGTAGCAAACCAGCAGAACTCACTCTCTCTCTCTCTCTCTCTCTCTCTCTCTCTCTCTCTCTGTGTGTGTGTGTGTGTGTGTGTGTGTGTGTGTATCCCTCTCTCTGTCATTCTGCCTTCCAGATAAATGAGTAAATAAATCTTTAAAGCATGTGAGGTGCTGACTGCCCAGAGCCTGGCACAATAAGTGACGATTATTAGAAAGGCGTGTGCAGAAGGGGGAGCCCCCGGATTGAGTGATCAGCAAGGGGCAGTCCCTTCTGGGAGCTTCCCTGAGCCCCAGGTCTTCTTTCTCGGCTTCTAGAGGCTGAGCTGGTCCCAGCCCCCACCATTCTTCCAGGTGACTGGGCCTCAGGGAGTCCCCTCACCAGCCCACAGAGTAGGAGAGGAGCAGGATGTGACGGGGCTTATGGGTAGAAGTTCGGTCAGCTCCATGGAGGCCCTGCTGGCCCGTCCCCGCCTCAGCTGGACTTGGCTCTTCCTGGCCTACCCCTCCATGTCTTTTCCCAGGCTTTTGCACAGAAGGTACTCAGGGCTTAGCTGGGGGACTCAGCTGGGCAGCGTGTCCCAGGGAGGAACAGCAGAAGCTGTCCTACTAATCCTGGGCTCCGGCTCTTTGCCTATAACTGGTGATGTCAGCCGGGGGTGGTCCTGATGGCACCCCCCCCCCAAACCTCTCGCCTGTCCCCAGTGATATCACGAAAACTGTCACCAGGATCCGCCTTCCCCATGGAGGCTTCTGAAGTGCAGCCCTGTAGATGGTGACAGCCCTGGGCTCCAGTCCAGATTCTGTTATCTGCTGTGTGACCTTGGCCACACCCCCTCCCCTCTCTGAGTCTCGGCCCTTGTTTAACACCAGGTGACTTCAGCATGGTGCTCACCCCTCTGGGGTACAGCTGATGCCCTCAGAGGTGGAGTGACTTGCAGATGATCACACAGCACAAGGGTGGAGGTGGGAGGGCCAGGCCCTGCCCCCAGCCCTGCAGCTGGGTAAGGAAGTGGCCCCAGCCCCTCTGTGGTTGAAAACCTGAACTGAGCTCCTGTGGACAGGATGAACTGAGTGGTCAGTCACTGCTCTGTTCTCACCTGCTCACTGTTTACTGAGTACCTGCTGTGCTGTGTGAGCAGTTCTGTGCCCCGAGGGCACAGTCCCAGTGTCGCCAGATTTCATGACTGTGGGGCTGGGAACCTGCAGACCCCAGGGGTGAGGGTGGACATAGGGCAGTGATGGGGCGGGGGTGGGGCTGGAAGCCCTCTTTGTCCCACAAGCAGTGGGGCGTGGCTGTGCTGGGGTGACAGGTGCCTGCAGGTGTCAGGGACAAGCTTGTCTACTCCCAGGTGTTGGTTGCTGCCTGTGATGGGTCCAGCTGTGCACTGGCCAGGGTGGGCTGGGAGACAGCTTTGATCCATGCACCAAGCCCTCAGCCCTCAGCCCTCAGCCCTCAGCCCTCGCCTTGGCTCCTGCCTCCTTTGCTGTACTTCAGCGAGATCACTGGTCAGCTTGTTATAATCAAGATTTTCATATCATTTGTGTTCTGATCCAAAAGATGAAAAATAAAATGCAATTATATTGAAAGTATAATAGAATTTGAAATATGTTCATCAATAATGAAAATTAACAAAGGAAAACATTTTCAGAACCTGATTTTATGAAATGACCTATTAAAATAAGACACCATAGTATCTGATTTTAAAATAAATTAAGCAGAGATGAAGCATTAACCCAGGTTTTGACACTTTTACAAAAAGAAACTACAATTCTAGTGTCCAGTGTCCATCAGCTGCCAAGTTAAAGAATGAGTTTCACTCTTCACATTACCTTAGTGCGGTATGAATCGTTACGTATCGTAGATTGTTCCTCAGCCGCCTCGTACGTTTTCTGTGACTCCCACCCTGATTCACGAGTGCTTTAGAGCCACAGAGGAGAACAGGAGGACGTGCTGGAGGACGCTCCGCAATCCCGGAGACGGAAGCTTGGTCTTGCATGGAGCCGCTGCGCGTGGCCTGTGCCGGCAGAAGCCTCGGCAGGTCCGAGCGTCCGCCCTCCCACGTGTGAGCCCCTCCCCCACCACGAACTCCCCCTCGTCAGGGCTTCTGGACAGAATCACCTTGTGTTCTTCATGTTCAAGGAACGGGGAGGCGGCTGCCTGGGGCCCGAGCGGGGGCGCTGGGGGAAGCCGGTGCTCGGGGAAGCCGGTGCTCGGGCCCACAGGGCTCCCGGGTGCCGTGGGCGCCAGGCTCCCGTCTGCGCTCCGATGTGTTTGCATGGCCTGTGGGGCTCATGCTGGTGACCCTTTGCCCACAGGGTGGTTTTGGAGTGGATCTTCTTGCCAGTGAGATACTCTCTACCATATAGTTCACCATGAGCGAACAACAGAGCTTTCGCTGTAGCTGGAGGTTAAATCTAGGCAGCTTAATCTACTCACTCATTTCATTCATTCATATACACGTTTGTCCGTTGAGTTTCATGGAAAATCCCAATAGGTACAGCTCTATCCCTGTCAGCCTCCTTTTGCAGGTGTCCTGTCTAGAAGAGCCACTTCCTGCCATGGGCGTGAGCACTGGCTCCAAGTAACTGACAGCGCCCACTGGCCCTGGGCTGGTGCTGGAAGCCAAGGTGGCCTGGAGCCAGGATTGGGACATCCAGCCACTCCCACATCTCGTTTCTAGGCTAGCGACTGGCCCAGGTGGATCCCCAGGGAGGACCTTGGCACTTCTCTTCCTGACAAGACCTGAGGTACAGTGGAAAGGGCACTGGGCATGGAGTCACAAACTTGGATTTCTGACACCAGCTGCCTGGTGACTGTCAGTTCCCTGCCGTTCTCTGGGCCTCCACGTTCAAGTCCGCCCCATGGGGGGAGGGTCGATGGCCGTGACCTGTGCAGCTTGGTGTAGCGGGGATCCCATTATGAGATTGGCTTTGGGTTCTGACTCCGCTGCCCTGACAGGTGTGGACACCCCTCAGAAATCTAGAATTGTAATCCTTGCAGTGCGCCTCTCCATGTCAACCCTGTGGAGTGGGTTTTACCATTGAAACACAGAGAAGTCACCTGACTTCCCCAAGGTCACACGGGATGAGCCAAAATTCCACCCTGGGTAGTTTTATCCCAGCCACTGCCTCTTACCCAGTCTGTTCTCACTGCCTGCATGGAGGCTACTGGCCCTGCGGCGTCCGTGTCACTTGGAAGCAGCTCAGGCCCAGTGGAGACCTAACCGGTCGGATGCATTTTAGCAAGACCCCCAGGTGTGTGCGTGCAGCAGGCTGAGCCCTGGTCTGTTTGCATCCGTCGCCCCTGAGACCTCGGGATCACCACAGGAGATGAGGAAATAGTGTGTTTCTGAAACCGTGACGTGCCAGGCACTGGGGACACAGGAGCCGGGGACTGTGCAGAGATGCTGGCCTGGGTTCCCCTGGTGTCTGTGTCTCAGTAACTGAGGTCATTCCTCCGCTGTCTCTGAGCCCAGCTCTGTCCACCTGTGGCCTGACGCCGTCTCTGCAATGTGTTTCTTGTTGGTGCAGGGCTGCAGGGTCCCGCTGTGTAGGGGAGAGCTCTTGTGCTAGTGTGGACCCGGATCTTAGCCTTGGCCCCTCTCTGCCTCTGTGGGTGACACAGGCAGGCCCCGGCCCTGCCAGCCTCCTGTCCTCTAGCAGGCCAGACGGGGACAGCCCCCTTACGTCTCCTCCTCCCCCACGGCTGGTCGGCCCCTTCCCTCCTCCCTGTTCCTGGGCTGGGGGCTGCCCTGCTGGCTACAGGAGCTGGGGTTGGGGGATGGTGCATGAGTCAGAACTCGGGCCCATAATTAACCAGGCCCCGGATCCCGCCTCCGGCCCAGTGGCCCTCCCTCGGTGGCTGCTTTAGAAGAGCAGCTGGCTTGTTGGCTGCCTCGGAGAAGCAGGTTCTTCCCTGGACAGCGGGAAAGGGGCTCTGCCTTCGGGGTGGCTGGGCTTGGCTCCTGTTTGCAGGAGTGGTCCTGGGTTCAGGGTTTGGGTGCAACTGGGGGCAGCATGCATGCATGGAGGATGGTGGGTGCGGGTTGCACAGCCCTGGTGTCTCGGGGCTGAGACTAGCTGTGACCCACCCCGGGGCCTCATGTCTAGCACATGGTGGGCACAGGGCAGGACTCGCCTAGGGCTGGGTGCGGAGATGTAGAGTCTCACTGGGTTTGTCCCCTTGTCTCCTCAGCTCTGCCAGTGACGTGACATCACTGCCTCCGTAGACAGAAACCCCCAGGAGTCCAGCCCACTGCTACCACTACCTTCTTCCAGGTAAAAAAAAAAAAAAAAAAAAGAAAAGAAAGAAAGGTGGGAGGGAGGAATGAGAGACAGGCTGGCTGGAAGTCAGGGGTAACCTCACATGGGGGAGGCGCCCTGCCGTTTATGACGAAACAGCAGCACGTTGGTGTATGAGGGGGTCAGAACAGGTCTCGTGTATGGGTGAGCCATGCCCAGCTGCCTCCCAGGGTCTGCACTGACAGGAAGCCAGAGTGAGGAGCTGGAGCCAGGTGTTGAACCCAGGCCCTGGGATATGGGGCACAAGCATTTCATCTGGCATTCTAACTGCTCCCTGCCAAAGGTTTGTATTTTAAGGGAGAATCCTAGAGAGTGATGCTTCAGCCAAAGAAATGCATGGCAAATGGTGGAACTGGAGGCCTTGCACCACGGATTGGCATGCGCCTTTAAGGTGGACCAGCTGACTCCTGGACTGTCCTCCTCGGCATTTGAACGAGGCTGGTTTTCTCTGGGAAGAAAAGTTCAAGGCCCCAGATTCTCAGAGGTGCCTGGAAGCATAGGGACTGAAAAGATGTTAACAGTGCTGACGCTGGTTCTCTGGGCTACATCTGAGGCCGACTTACACCGGCTCTTATACAGAAATGTGCAGACAGATGTCGGAGGGTTAAGAAAAGTGTGTGGGAGACAGCAGCTAATTGAGGCTTTCTTTTTGGAACTTAATTTCTTCTTGGAAATTGGGAAGAGGCTAATTATTATTCAGAGGCAGAGCTCGGGCTCACAAGGGGCTCTGCGCTGCTTCCCTCTCTCCTTCCTTGGAGCACTGAGCCAGCTTCTCTGACACACACTGAGCCCAGGGCAGGAGCACAGGGAGCCCTCCAGCAGGGCCAAGGCCGGGGGTATCCTGTGCCCCCGTCACCTTGCGCAGGGCCGCAGACGCTGTGGTCTGCAGGAAAGCTTGACCAGGCAGACCCAGATCTCAGCCTGGGGAAGCTCTTCATCTGGTGGGCGAGGCAGAAGCGATAATTACCCAGCGTGGAGGCCTGTGATCACTCTCAGGGGCTCTACCGGGCCACGTGAGCCCACAGGGAGGAGGCAGGGCGCTTCTGGGGAGTGGGGTGGGCATCAGACCCAGTTCTGCTCAGGATCCGTTTGTTAAGCTGGAGGGGGTCTGGGTTGGGGCATGGAAAGGCTCTCCTGGCGGCAAAGGCACAGAGGTGGCAAGGCTGGGAGTGGTGGTGACCCTGGAGTGCAGCAGTTGGCGAGGGCCGGGCAGGTAGCGCCAAGGAGGTGGGTGTCTGGGAGGAGGCACCCAGGAGGCTTCGCTTCCCAGCCCCAGGTCCTGTTTGTAGAACAACTCTGCTATCTACTGTAAATAAACAAAGCAAGCCATGGCGCCCCAGTTCCTTCAAGGGACAAAAACTGGTGCAAGTCTCTGCCAGTCTCCACTTCCTCCTCCACCCCCACCCCACTCGCGTTCAGGTGCCCCCCCTCCCCTGGGGCCCAGATGAGGCATCCGAAAAAGCCAGCCTGGCTGCTGTGCCTGAGTCACTGGGCTTCTGGGAGGGGCCGGGGTGACAACCTGATGGGGAGGAGATGGCGAAGGTCTCTCAGGGCACTGCCGGAGGCCTGGGGATGTTCGCTGCCTCTGTCAGTGCCACGGAGGCAAGATCTCCGTCTGGGCTGGACTTGCCACGTCCTGGTGCCCTACAGGGAACTGCCCGCTGTCCAGGGACAAAGGGGCCCATGGCCGGGAGTATGCAACTGCAGACTCGGGTGGTTGGCCGCCACTTGGGAGCTGCACAGGCAGAGAGGCCGGGGCGGGGTGGGGGGCAGGTCTCCCCGCGCTGGTTCCAAGATCCCAGTGGCATTGCTCCAGGATTCTGTGATTATATGAGTCCTGGGCAAGGCCCTTCTGAAGCTCTGGTTTGGCGCACTTGCAGCCTGAGATGTTGAGTCCCGAGGAGCTGAGCTCTGCCCTCTGGCCAGGCCAGGCCCCTCTCGGTGACTACTCGCAGCCCTGCACTGAGAAAGATGTCCTTTCTGGGCCATGAGGACCCAAGGCCCTGAGCCTGGCTCCTGTCCGGTCTGTGCTCTGAAATGTGCAGCTCTGTCCCCTGAGGCCTTAGCTGAGGGAGAGGCTCAGTGTCCCACCAGACACCAGCCTTGGCTGGCTCCTCTGTAAGACTGGGGATGTTGGCCGGCGCCCCGGCTCACTAGGCTAATCCACCTTGCGGCACTGGCACACCGGGTTCTAGTCCCGGTCGGGGCACCGGATTCTGTCCCAGTTGCCCCTCTTCCAGGCCAGCTCTCTGCTGTGGCCCATGAGTGCAGTGGAGGATGGTCCAAGTGCTTGGGCCCTGCACCCCATGGGAGACCAGGAGAAGTACCTGGCTCCTGGCTCCTGCCATCGGATCAGTGTGGTGCGCCAGCCGCGGCGGCCATTGGAGGATGAACCAACGGCAAAGGGAGATCTTTCTCTCTGTCTCTCTCTCTCACTGTCCACTCTGCCTGTCAAAAATAAAAAATAAATAAATAAATAAAAATAAAAATAAAAGACTGGGGATGTTGGTTTCAACCTGCGGCTCTTGGGCAATGCTTCCAGGAGAGGCCGTGCATGCATGCATGTGAACTTCAAGCACCGTGCAGGTGCCACAGTGGGGCTGTGTCCTGAAAGGAAGGGCACCTCTGACACTGCGAGTCCTTCCCAGCTCTAGTGCTGGGCACAGGATGGAGGCAACTTTTAATTTTTTTTAAGGTTTGTTTGTTTATTTGATAGGCAGAGAGAGAGCGTGCGCGCACGAGCGAGTGCACACGTGCACTAGATCTTCCATCCATTGGTTCAATCCCTAAATGTCCATAGCAGCCACGGCTGGGCCAGGCTGAAGCCAGGAGCCTGGAACTCCATCCAGGTCTCCTACATGGGTGGCAGGGGCCACGTACTTGGGCCAGCTTCTGCTGCTTTCCCAGGTTCATAAGCGGGAAGACAGATAGGAAGCAGAACAGCCAGGACTCACACTGGCGCTCTGATATGGAATGCCAGAATTGCAGGCCGTGGCCGAGGTGCAGGCCCAGTGGAGGCTTCTTAAATGTGTGCTGATGGGGCCGGTGGGGTGGCCAACAAGCTAAGCTGCTGCCTGCGATGTGGGCATCCCCTATGAACATGAATTTGAGTCCTGGCTACAACACTAATGTGCCCGGGAAGGCAGCAGAAGATGGCTCAAGTGCTTGGGCCCCCGCCACCCACATGGGAGACCTTGGTAGAGTACCAGGCTCCTGGCTTCAACCTGGCCATTTATTTGGGTGGGGAACCAGCTGATGGAAGATAGCATACACATGTTTGCTCTCGCTCTCTCACTTTTGCTCTGTGTGTGTGTGTGTGTGTGTGTGTCTATGTCTATCTATGTCTATCTTTCACTGTCTTTAACTCTGCCTTTCAAATGAATAGGTAAATCTTTTTAAAAAGTGTACTGAGAGGCAGGCACTTGGCACAGTGGTTGTGACTGCTTGGGACCCCCACATCTCATTTCAGAGTTCCTGGTTCGAGTCCCCCTACTCTGCTTCTAATCTAACTTCTTGCTGATGCACACCCTGGAGACAGCAGATAACAGATCACATACTTGAGCCCCTGCCACCCACATGAGACACCCCACCTGGGGTTCTGGGCTCCTGGCCTCAGCCTGCCCCAGCCCTAGCTGTGGTGAACATTTAGAGGAGTGAAACTGTAGATGGAAGATCTCTCTCCATCTTTCTGTCTCTCTGCCTTTCAAATAAATTCTTTTTAAAAAGTTAAAGACCAGCAAACATGTAGCGAATGAGCTGGAGAGCCATGGGGCAGATGGTACCAGGAGGCCCCAGTTCCAAGGTGGGAAATCAGCCCTTCCCCCCAGGAGAAGCAGGGAGCGCTTCCTGTAGGAAGGCAGCCGGGAGCTCACGACAGAGCCCACCGCCTTGGGCACAGCAGGCTGCGGCGGAAGACCAGGTCCGCCTTGGCCTCCAGGCCCCGCCAGCCTCCTCCCAGGAGGAAGAGCGATCAGAGGTCTCTTGGGACAGAAGTGTGAGTAAACACGAGGCTCCAGCATCATGGTGGAAAGAGATTAATAATGACCCTAATTATGGTGTGATTGAGTCTTGGAGCACTCAGGCTGAGCTCAGCCTCAGTAACTTTTCCCTAAGGACAAGCGGGTGTGACGGGGGCCTGGGCGGTGCTGCCCACTCCGTCGTCATCTTACCGCCATGGCTCTCTCCCCAGCTGGCAGCTGCCCCTGGGACTTAAACCTCCTTCCTGCCCTGGGCCTGGCTACCTTCTCTGCCCACGCTGCTGTAACCTAGGGCCCCCTCTGAGGCCCAGAGAGGACTGGTCTGCCCACAGCCACACAGCAGGATGATGGTGGCCCAGGTCTCTCGTTCAAGCCATCAACTGAGGCTGTGCAGCAGGCAATACCTTATATATGCAGGTGCTCCCCAAAAGCTGGCTGGGGGGGGATGGTGCTGGCGAGCAACTCGCACATTCCTCTGGAGGGTGCTGAGCTGTCAGGACACTCCGCTATCAGCCTTGGGAATGGAGGGCCCCCCAGTCAGCCCCGGGAGGGACCAGGGCACGGCCTTCCCTTCTCCCGGAGCAGCTGAACGATTCCTGGGGCTGAGGAGAGAGCAGGTGCCTCACAGCCCATCAGAGCTGAGTGCTGGAGGGGCCTGCGGAGATCGTCAGAGGGTTCAGATTCTCCCAGGATGGCAAGGCTGAGGCCAGAGGCTGGTGGAGGCCCCTCAGCCTGCTTCCGGTGGAGCCCAGCCTCGGGCCGTCGGCCAGGGAAGCCGTGACCACGGGGAAAGGGAATGTTTCCTCTTCCCGGGGAGGGGGGAGTTTCCTGGCAGCCCCTGGAGAAGGCCAGGCCTCCGCTGCCCCTACCGTGGTACCTTTTGCTCCCCCGGGCACCTGGCCTCACTCTGGGCCTGCGCTGGTGCCAACCCAAATATTGATGTCCACCCTTTGAGGTGCAGCTTGTGGCTCCACGGTGGCTGGAGCGGGAATTGAAGGG